AAATCTGTTACATGTCCGTCTTCCCTCTTTCCTTTTGAAGATGGCTTCCTAGACGACAGTCATGGTGATCAGTCGTTATCATCGGGTCTCAGCTCTCCAACACGCTGTCAGAATGGTGAAAGAGTGGAACGCTATTCTAGAAAGGTGTTTGTTGGAGGTCTTCCTCCTGACATTGATGAAGGTACTGTGAAAGAGTTATGATGGTGGGGGGCATTGGCGTTCATATAATTACTTAGGAAAGGTCACCTTTTTGTAAAACAGGTGTATTTTTCAGGTGTGCCACTGGTAGTGTTTGTGGCATTATTTAAAACAAACCAAATCCCCCTCAGATCTGAAAACTTACTTCATGTTCTGTTGTACTATAGATCGGAAAAGATAAGGACAGAAGTGCCTGTCTGTATGTGTAAATGGGAAAACTGAAAAAGGGAAATTTGTGCTATCATTTGTGCCTCTGCCCTCTGTCCCTTTTCTTTTAAAAATTTTCGGGTACTCTAAGTAACTTGTTAATGGATGTGGGAAAACTGAAAAAGGGAGATTTGTGCTATCATTTGTGCCTCTGCACTCTATCCCTTTTCTTTTAAAAATTTTTGGGTACTCTAAGTAACTTGTTAATGGATTCTGACCATAATCATAAATTGGACTTAAACACCTCTCATCCCCAACTTACATACAGTGATTCAGTTGGCAAATGCAGGCCATTTCATATGGTTATAATAACTATCTTAGTAGGAACAGTCATTTTTCCAGTCCATACCTCCTTTACTTGTACATGCCAACACTCTTCCCACCCAGCCTAAAGGCATCACTGATCCTGATTTTCTGCCAAATTTAAAAGCCTAAACTATATATAGTTTTAATAAAGAAATAGCTAATATGGTTCAGCCTTGCTAAGCCTAAACAAGGCACAATTTCCATAAAGGAACAGTACACATTGGCAGCCTGTGGTTCACCAACAGCTCGAATGTAGTTCCCGTGTCACACAGTGAGTCGCAGGGCCGTTGGAACCGGGGCTGCTGCTGCTGGGAAATCTCCCTCCACAGCTCTTGGAAGGAGCCAGTCAG